GAAAAAAGGAGTTTGAATGAAATATGCATAATTTGTTTTCTTCAAAATAGCTAACCAAGTCAAATGCTTTTTGTTTTAAAAGAAAATCTTTTTATGAAATTGAATTAACAAGGAAATCTTAAAGCTAAAGATAATGAAAATATATTTTGTCTTGATAAAATAAAATAAAAGAGTTTTTATTCAATTGAAAGCCTTTTTATCTTCAAATTCGCCTACTCAAAATTCAAAAAAAGAGTTGTGTTTTAAGCTTTAGACATATCGACATTTTATAAAGTTTACATTTTTTAAATATAAACAAAGACATACAAATCGGCCCTTTTTAAATTCTCAAAATAAATCACTTTAGAGTTCAAATACTTACACTTTTGTTCTTAATTTTAACAAAGGTTTGTGGAAAGTGTTAGAAAAGTTGTATTTAAAACCTTAGTTTATCAAAAAGTATAGCTTAAAAGTTGATACATATTCATTATAAAAAAGGGTCTAACTTCTTTGCAAAACAAAGATTTCTCAAACTAACAAACGAATTAAACAACAAAAGAACCTAAATTAAAGGTCAATGTTCTAAGCCAAATTAATATATTAAACCCAATATCTAGAGGAGGGGAAGGTGAGCTATTAGGTTTGCTTAAGTTCTTATTTGATTAGTTTGCATAAGTTCAAATATAAATTGAAACAAAACATAAATATAGGTACCAAAAGAAAGTATAAAATGTTAGTCAAAGATAACAACATATATGTATGCATAAAAAATATAAAGCTTTGAGATAAGGAGGAAGTGCGGGATTTTCTTTTGGAATGAGTGAATCATTCTAGACACGAGCTAAATGCAAGGTAGGTTGCTTCTCTAATTTGGATAGAGGTGGAGTCATATTGCAACTCCATACGCACCCCCCGAATGTACATGTAAATAAAAAGAAAGTAAAGAAGAGATTAGTGAGACGATTCAACTTTAAATAATAGTGAAAATCAAATATAGAGCTAAGCAAAATTATACAATGTATATATTATTACAAACACAAGATATGCAAGCATCAAATAAAATACTCATTTATTGAATAACGACCTTTAAACCGACTAACAATGACAAAATCAAAACAAATGTATTCTTTCGAGTATAAGCTAAATTTAAACACATCAGATTTGAGCTATAAGAGAAGTGTCATTTCTATGAATTATTATGAACAACGAAATATAATGTACGAGTCTTGACAATATATACTATATGATGTTATTTAAAATGATAACTTATACACCTACTTAAGATAACTAAATGTATATATTGGGAACGTGAAAGAGAGATACAAATGGTTTAAATAGTTATTCTACACAATACTACCTAACTAAGAAAAATTAAAATTGGTTCTCACATGCTTCTGTTAAACCAAAAAAAAAAAGTATAAGTTGCAAATTAAAGAGAATCAAACGAACATCACTATACAATATGGATATGACAGAATACCAAAGGAATCTGAAATTTTATAGTTTTTAGGTGTGGGATATATGGCCGAGCTACTTACTCGCATTTTGTTAAGAAAATACATGATTAACAGCTCACTCAAACAAGACAAAATTATATCGCTTTCTTCCTAATAATACATGGGCAGAAACTTCTTATCAAATGCAAGACAACTTGGAGCAAAAACGGATTCATGCGGCTATCTAGTCTAGTCGTAAAACAAGATAATTCTTTAAGTTCGACGTTCGAAACTTCAAGGCAATACAAACTCAGCTCTGTACAGATCTCAAACAGGACACAGACTCATTTTTTACACTTCATTACAGCTAACAAATCACTCTCGATGTATCAGTTTATTAAAGCACACACAACATTTTATTACAGAGACAAAAATAGAGGAAAAGAAAAGGGCGAGTATTACCTGTTATCGGGCAGTGAACGGAGATGCTTTGGTCTAAGGCCTACCTTCGAACAACGACCAGCTCGAAACTAGAGTTCTCAATCGAGAAAAATAGAACCAAAATGATATTTTGGAGCAAAATACACAGTGGTTAAGGGGGCTATCGTGCGATGGAAAAACTTCTTAAAAATGAATGCCAAGGCTTCTATGGAGGCTGAAAATCTCTCCCCCTGGCTAAAGATGTGAGGATGTATTTATAGGTAAAGACTAGGTTTTCTGGCTTAGCGTTTTGGCGGGATTCAAAAGAGTGAAGGAGCCGTTTGAATTCAAACTCAAATCCCTGAGCTTACTCCATCAGAAATCGCAGAAGTTTTTGGCATTTTCCTTTGACCAAATTAAAGAAGAGAGATGAGAATAAGAGAGAGAGCAAGTGGAGTTGTCTAGGCTTGCATAGAATTGGAGTGGATGGTATCTGCCATTTTGAAGATCACTGGAGTTTAACTAAAAGAGGAAACTATCGATAGAAGACAAAGGAACAGCTCCTGCTAGTTAAAAAGGTATGGCTTAGGGCTTGAATTAGTTTTGGGCCGAAAATTGGGACGAGTTTGGGCTAAGATGTATTTAATTTTGTGGGCAGACCAGTTTGGTCTGATATTGTTGGGTCTATGGGCTGAATTTAAAGGCCTTTTTCTTTTAAATTATTTTGGGCTTCTAACTTAATATCTAATATAATATATATTATGATATGATAACAACTAAAAATTTACATAATAAAAATATCACTAATATAAAATATATTTATAAAATATTGACTTATAATTAATTAAATAAATAGGAAACTAGAAATAAGATGACGACAAATTGATTATTTAAGAAAAAGGTGTAAAAGTAATTAATTTTGATAATAAAACTAATAATTTTAGACGATATATAGTCGTAGTAGTAAAAATAGTTGTGAAAAAGGATTATTTTATACTTATTAAATTAGAAGCTTGAAAACAATAAATTAGAAGAATGGAGGGTCAAAATTGGGTGTCAACAGCTTGTCCCTCTTTGACCAGAGACTATGTAAGAGTTTTTGGGCAAAGAAGTTGACGTAAAAGCCAATTTTGTCCCGACCAACAAATACGACCTTGGAAGAATATGAGACAATATGGGCATTGAATAACTTATGAGGTAGAGGATTTTGGGAACAGGGTGGCCGCAAGCTTACAAAAGTTGCTCCAGTATTGAATCATGATGTTATTGGTATTGTGATCTAGGAGAGTATTTAAGATTGGAATCGAGTAGAGTTCGAGGTAGACCTTTGACCTTTGTTGGAAAGCTAAACTTTCTCAACAAATTGCCCCAGTTCACTGCTTAGATAAAGTTCCACGTTGTGCTAAAACTCCTGCAGAATTCAAACTTGACAAAACAGTTAATAATATTAAACATGAAGCATGGTGCGATAAACATATGGAAATAACACCTCCTGGGTGTGAATTTATGAAAATGCGGCATTGCAAGCCGAAATGACTTAATGAGATAAAATCTTGCAAAATTTATGAAAAAGGGGTTTAAGGCCGATGATTCATGAGAAATGATGCTTTTCAGCGATGATTAATGAAAATGAGGCCTTAACCAAATAAATTATGGATATGAGGCTTTTAGCCAAATGATATAAAAATGAGACCTTTTAAGCCAGGTGATTTATGAAAAGGAGGTCTCTGAAAGCAAATCAGACTGGTAAAGCATTTGTGCAGTATATTTGAAAGCGTCTGTGCAATCAACTGAAAGCATTTGTGCAATGCATTAGAAAGCGATAAAGCCATGTAGAATTCCTTTTTAAATAATTGAAAATATTTGTGCATTTGAAGATATTCATTTGTGCGAAATATAAAGCATTTGAAGATATTTAGAAGCATTTATGCAGTGCGTTTGAAAAATAATTGAAGGCATTTGTGCAGTGTATTTGAAAATATGCATTTGTGCGAGGCATTTGTGCGGTGTATTTGAAAATATATAAAAGCATTTGTGCAGTGCGTTTAAAGTATTTGAAAGCATGTATGCGAAAAATCTGAAAGCATTTGTGCGGTGCGTTTGAAAAATATCTCGAAGCAAATGTGCAGTGTGCTTGGAAATATCTGAAAGCATTTGTGCAGTGCATTTAAAGGCATTTATGCAGAGCAAAAATCATGTGCATTGTTTTATTAAATAATATTTGTTATCAACACATTTGAAAACTTATAAAGCTTTACTTATAAGTTTTCGAATTATAAATTTATAAGTAACTCAAACCACTCGACATATAGTCCTTTCGATGCTATGAATGTTATTGACTTCTCAGCTTTTGGTAATTCTGATAAACCTGCACTCAAAGAAAAATTATAAGTTTTGGGGGAGGTTGATTCGCATTGACTTTGAAGGTCTGGCTCTTCATACTTCTTTCTTCCAGCTTTGGTTGGACTCATAACCTCCGTCAATTCTAAATCTTGGTTAAATGGATAACAAGAAAATAAATAAAACGAAAACATTTGATTGAAAATCATATTTGAAAATAAGATAAAATTATATATGTATATATATCAATAAAGAATTTTGTCGAACTTCAAATTGTGACATATCATGAAACAAAGCGAACGTCCTTTATCTGAAGTCTTTCTTCTGTTGGATGATTCGATTGACCATATACTCTTCAAATATCTTGATATCTTTTTGCAACAATACCCTTAAAAATTGTCCTAGTTTTTGCGAAAGAGATGCATTGTCCTTTGGTCACGATGATTCCAAACCTTCTATAGGCTGCACACTATTCTATTATGGCACCAAGCCAAACATAACCTAAGGACACAATCAAAATTGAAATAAAGGGCCGAACCCTTCTCGGGTTGCCTACGTATCCGAACGGAATCAGGCCATACGTAGTTCGCTACATACAAATAAAAAAAATCTAATAAAGTGACCGAAGCCGATATAGGCCGCCTACGTATCCCACCAAGGGTATCAGGCCAAGCGTAGTTCATATTACATAGAAAGGAAATTTGCAAAACCTACTAAAGGACCAAATCCGATGTGGATTTCCTACGTATCCCGCCATGGGAATCAGGTCAAGACGTAGTTTCCAATACATGACAAAAAGATTACAAGAAAATGAAATAGAAACCTCTAGATGTAGTATCTCTTAACCGCATCTGCATTGATAGCTTTTGGCCATATCTTGCCATCAATTTCTGCTAGAATCAAAGCTCCTCCAGTCAGTACTCGGTGAACCATGTAAGGTCCTTGCCAATTAGGTGCAAACTTTCCCTTAGCTTCATCTTGGTGTGGAAATATTCGCTTCAACACCAATTGTCCCGGTTCAAACTGTCTCAATCTTACTTTCTTGTTGAAAGCTTTGGCCATCCTGTGTTGATAAAGTTGCCCGTGACAAACCGCATTCATTCTTTTTTCATCAATGAGCATCAATTGTTCATACCGATTTTGCGTCCACTCGGCATCACTTAACTCAGCTTCTTGGATGATCCTCAGAGATGGTATCTCGACTTCCATTGTAACACTGCTTCTGTTCCATAAACCAAAAGACAAGGTGTTGCCCCAGTCGAAGTCCTGATTGTGGTGCGGTAGCCAAGAAGGGCAAAGGACAAACTCTCATGCCAATGCTTGTAGTTATCAATCATTTTCCGCAATATCCTCTTAATATTTTTGTTGGCGGCCTCAACTGATCCATTCATCTGAGGTCGATAAGGAGTGGAATTGCGGTGAATAATTTTGAACTTCTCGCATATCTCATGCATCAAGCCACTATTGAGATTAGCTCCATTATCTGTAATAATTGACTCGGGGATCCCAAATCTACAAATGATGTTATTGCGAACAAAATCTGTCACCACCTTCTTTGTCACAGACTTGTATGAAGATGCTTCTACCCACTTTGTGAAGTAATCAATAGCTACCAGAATGAACCTGTGTCCATTTGAGGCGGCTGGCTCAATAGGGCCAATGACATCCATGCCCCAAGCTGCAAATGGCCAAGGAGAACTCGTCACATTTAGCTCATTCGGTGGAACCCGAATCAAATCACCATGAATCTGACATTGATGACACTTTCTCACAAAACGGATGCAATCTGTTTCCATGGTCATCCAAAAATATCCAGCTCGTAGAATCTTCTTTGCCAAAGTGAAACCATTCATGTGTGGCCCACATGTACCCCCATGTATTTCTTCAATCAACTTGCTTGCCTCGTGAGAGTTAACACATCTTAACAATCCCAAATCTGGAGTCCTCCTATAAAGGATTTCCCCACTTAGGAAAAAGTGATTTGCGAGTCTCCGAAGTGTTTTCTTTTGAACATTGTTTACTCCTTCTGGATAGTCTCCTTTTCTAAGATACCTCTTAATGTCATAATACCAAGGTTCTCCATCCGGTTCTTCATCTACATGGAAACAATAGGCTGGCTGATCTTGCACATTGACCTTGATTGGATCTATGTAGTTCTTGTCTGGATGTTGAATCATAGAAGCCAGGGTTGCCAACGCATCTGCAAACTCGTTCTGAGCTCGTGGAATATGCTTGAATTCTACCTTGATGAATTTCTTGCACAATTCTTTCACACACAACAAATATGGGAGTATCTTCACATTCTTGGTGCTCCATCCCCCTTGAACCTGATGAATCAATAAGTCAGAATCACCTATAACCAACAATTCTTGTATATTCATGTCAACAACCATTCTAAGCCCAAGAATACAAGCCTCGTACTCCGCCATATTATTTGTGCATAGGAATCTGAACTTTGTTGAGATAGGATAATGTTGACCTGATTCTGAAATCAACACTGCTCCAGCACCGACTCCTTTGGAATTCGCAGCACCATCAAAAAACATTCTCCAACCGGGATATTCTTCGGAAATATCCTCTCCAATAAATAAAACCTCTTCATCAGGGAAATAAGTTTAAGAGGCATGTACTCTTCATCAGGGAAATAAGTTTTAAGAGGCATGTACTCTTCATCCACGGGATTTTCAGCGAGATGATCAGCTAGCGCTTGTCCCTTGATGGCCTTTTGAGTGACATAAACAATGTCGAATTCACATAGCAAAATTTGCCACTTCGCCAACCTTCCAGTGGGCATAGGCTTCTGAAATATATACTTGAGTGGATCCATCCTTGAGATGAGAAAAGTGGTATATGCACATAAATAATGTCTCAGCTTTTGTGCAACCCAAGTCAAAGCACAACAAGTGCGCTCCAATAAAGTATACTGAGCTTCATAAGGAGTGAACTTTTTGCTCAAGTAATATATAGCTTGCTCCTTCTTTCCAGTTTCGTCATGTTGTCCCAGCACACATCCGAATGCATTGTCAGACACTGACAAATACAACAACAACGGTCTTCCAGATTCTGGGGGCACCAAGACTGGTGGACTAGATAAATACTCTTTGATTCTGTCAAAAGCTTTCTGACAATCTTCCGTCCATTTTGTTGCAGCATCTTTCCTCAGCAACTTGAAGATTGGCTCGCAAATTACAGTAGATTGTGCAATGAATCGACTAATGTAATTGAGGCGGCCAAGAAAACTCATTACATCCTTTCGACTCTTTGGAGGAGGCAAGTCTTGAATAGCCTTTATCTTTGAAGGATCCAACTCTATCCCTTTCCTACTCACGATGAAACCCAACAGCTTCCCGGCAGGGACACCAAATGCACATTTTGCAGGATTTAACTTCAGATTGTACCGCCTTAATCTGTCAAAGAACTTCTTCAAATCTCTTATATGATCTGAGCTCTTCCGTGACTTGATGATGACATCATCCACATAAACTTCAATCTCCTTATGGATCATATCATGAAATATGGTAGTCATAGCTCTCATATATGTTGCCCCTGCATTCTTGAGTCCAAAAGGCATTACCCGATAACAATACACTCCCCAAGGCGTGATGAATGCACTTTTCTCCGCATCTTCTTCATCCATTAGAATCTGATGATATCCTGCAAAGCAATCAACAAATGACTGCAACTCATGCTTTGCACAATTATCAATAAGTATATGAATGTTTGGGAGAGGAAAATCATCCTTCGGGCTAGCCTTGTTGAGATCTCGATAATCTACGCATACTCTGATTTTTCCATCTTTCTTTGGCACTGGTACTATGTTGGCCAACCACGTGGGATACTTGGTGACCCGAATGACATTGGCATCAAATTGCTTGGAGACTTCTTCCTTAACCTTTAAACTCAAATCAGGCTTGATCTTTCTCGGCTTTTGCTTTACTGGGGGGCAAGAGGGATCAATTGGCAATCTGTGTGAAACAATATCCGTGCTTAGACCTGGCATATCATCGTAAGACCATGCGAACACGTCCATGTATTGTCTCAAAAGATCAATAAGTTCTTTTCTTTGGGACGAAGTCAAATGGACACTAATTCTTGTATCTCTCACCAACTCTGCTGAATCTCCCAAATTTATCGTCTCTGTTTCATCCAAGTTTGGCTTTTCTTTATTCTCAAAATGTTCAAACTCCTTGGTCAACTCTCCAGACTGCACATCTTCTTCATATTCTGCAAAAGTTTGTTCACTGTTCGGGGTTTGTTCGCTCGTTTCATTACATGTCACATTCTCGGCATTGACAGATTTATTAGTTTGCTTGCTGAAAGAGAGAAAAAAGATAAAAATAAAATAAATAATCAAGGACAAATTTTAAAATTTAAAGCATAAAAAGGTAACATAGATTTGGCATTTAAGCTTTCAAAAGACGGAGGCAAAACACATCAAATTCAAAAACACGATTCAGGCCTCAATTTGAATCATGTTGTTTTGTTAATTCTAATACAATCATCTACCAAGATTCCCGGAGGAACGGGGACGGGTTACAAGTCCAATTGTTCAAAGCATCTCCAGGCATGGCATCCCATATGGTCGGGGCCTCAGTGCAGTCCTCCAAAATCATATTGCATTCCGTTTCTTCAATGAACAAGTTTTTGAGTCCTTCTGTGAGGTTATCTTCAACAGCTTCTTCTAATCCTTCTGCAGCAAACGCCTTGGAAAATGACTGATTCAAGGGCGGGATAGGTTGTGGTAAGGGATTGTCACTTTTCCTTTTGAGATTGGCCGACGAGATTTCTTCAGGAGTAGGCTCGTATCCAAGACCAAAGGTGTATTTCTGACCAGGCAATTGAATTGGTTCCACTATTCCATCCAATTTCGCTCCAAGACCTTGACCCGGGATAAAACCATTCTTCAACATTTCCCAAGGCCACCATCATAAGCACACGTGGCAAATTTGCCTTTCCAACTTGAGTAGCACACACAATTTCCTTAATATGGAATACAGACCCATCCAACTCTTCCATACTTTCAATAACAGGGACTGAATTTTCAGGATATATTGAGTTGTTACCTTCTCCCATGAACAACAATTTCCTGATGGTTCCACACAAATTTCAAAGTCTGGTGCAAAGTGGAAGGGACCGCACCAGCCATATGAATCCCATGGCCTTCCAAGTAACAAATTATAACTAGCAGATATATCCAACACTTGGAATTCTACAATGAACTCCACAGGTCCAATTTGCAATGGCAGATCAATTTCCCCAATGACTCCCCTTTGTGTCCCATCCAAATCCTCTAACCCTTACATGACTTTCACGAATCTTTCCAATGTCAATTCCCAAAGCTCGAAGAGTAGTGAAAGGGCATATGTTAACAGCTGAACCATTATCAATCAGAACTCTGGAAATAAACTTATCCCTACATCTGACAGTAATGTTCAACGCTTTGTTATGTCCCAAACCTTCAGGCAACAACTCATCTTCATGAAAGGTGACTTTGTTAGCTTCCAAAACTTGTCCTACCATGGCAGAAAAGCTCTCACTAGTGGTCTCAGCTGGAACATAAGCTTCATTTAAAAACCTTTACCAAAGCATTCCTATGAGTTGCAGAATTCATCAATAAGGCCATTAAGGAAATTTGAGCAGGAGTTTTCTTTAGCTGTTCAACAACTGAATATTCCTTAGTTGGCATCTTCCTCCAGAAATCTTCCACTTCAGCCTCTGTCACAACCCTTTTTTGGTTATTTTCCTTGTTTGGTCCTCCTCGTACAACTTCTTCAGGGGCATAACAACGTCCGGATCTTGTCATTCCTGCAGCAGCAGCTTCTACAACTATCTTTCCTTTTCCTTTGTCCCTTGCATCAATCGAGTAATTCCAAGGAACTGCATTAGTGGTCAAAAGGGGATGATTGAGCGACAAGGGCCATAGATCTTAGGCTTGGGAAGAAAAACTTCCACTTCAATTGGCGCTCGTACTTGGACTGTGATTATTGGAGCAATAAAGGCCGATGTCTCAACATTCTTCTCTATCTTGACTGGTACTATGGTTCCTTCCAATTGCAATCTTCATCAACGGTGATCATGTGAACATTGCCATGATTTGGCAGCGGGTTGTTGTTTACATTGGGGGCAACACCTTTGAGTTGAATGATTCCTTCTTTGATCAATGCCTCAATCTTGTCTTTAGAGTAAGGCAACTTTCAGTATCATGTCCAGCAGCTCCAGAGTGATATGCACAGTGCTTGGTCTCGTCATACCATCCAGGAAGGGGATTGGGAATTCGTCCTTGGATTGGTTGGAGTACTCCTGCAGTTCTCAACCGTTCATATAGTTGGGCTAAAGGTTCAGCTAAGGTGTATAGGTTTTGGCTGGTCTTCTTTCAAAGTTTGGGCGGGGTCTGGGTGCATTTGATGGACGATTTTGTTGTTGGTAGTGGGATTGGGATGGATATGTGGGTTGGTATCGTGATGGATTTGGATAGGCAGGTGCTCTAGGTGGACAATACGTTGGTTGGGTGGTGTAAACTGGGTAAGGGGCAGGTGAAGGTTGATAATAGGGTTGAGGAATTTGGGTATACTGACTATAGTATGAAGGTTGGGGTAATGGGTTTTGGTAGGTTAACATTTGGTTTGGCCTACGTTCCTGGATGGTCATGACAGCAGACACACCGTCCTTCCTCTTCTTAAGGGCTCCTCCGATTGAATCCGACTGAATTGCCTTACTTGTCGCCTGCAGGGCTGCCAAATTAGTGATTCTCCCAGTTTTAATACCTTCTTCAATAAATTCTCCCATCCTGACAACCTCAAAGAACTTTTGCCCTACAACACTTATCATCTTTTCATAGTACGTTGCATCTTTTTGGGATTGTATAAAAAGAGAGGTCATCTCACTTTCTGCCATTGGAGGTTGAACTTTTGCGGCATCTGCTCTCCACCGCATTGCATACTCTCTGAATGACTCTGTTGACTTCTTTTCCAACTTCATCAAGTAGAACCTGTCCGGAATTGCCTCAGTGTTAAACTTGAACCTATCCATGAATTCTTGCGCCATCGCACCCCAACTATTCCATTTCTGTGGTCTCGACTCGTGTACCAATCAAGGGCCTCTCCTGTCAAACTCCTTATAAACAACTTCATTCTAATGGCCTCATCTTTCCCCACTCCAACTAACTTGTCACAATACGACCTTAAATGAGCTCGAGGATTTCCCTTCCCATCAAATACATCAAATTTTGGTACCTTATACCCCACGGGTAATTCAACATCGGGATGAACACATAAATCCTCATATTCAAGACCTTCAACCCCTTATGGACTTGGATACTTTTGAAAGCTTCCTTCAAATTACGAATCTCCCTTGCTACATTGTCATCTGTTCTTGACCTTGCTTCTTTCTCCATCTCTTCATATGGATCGACTTCTGGCAGGTTGGCATTGGATTAAGGAAAGGTTGAGCTTCCGCTACATATACTTGAGGCACATATTGCATGTTAGGGATTGCAGTGTGTGCCACCGGTATATGTTGGGTCGTTTGGTATTTTTGGGAAGGTAAGGCGTTTGGGTGAGTGGGGTAGTTTGGGTAAGTGGGTTAGTTTGGATGACCGGAGTTTGGGTAAGTGAAGTTTGGGGCGCATATGGGGTAGTGAAGGGTAA